GTCCTGAGAGTGCCACAACGTCTTGCCCGCCAAACTTGCTAGCCTAAGTAGCTAGGCAGTGCCCAGGCTGCTACCCGCGTAGCGGCACTGGATGGGTATAGTGTACAGATATAGGAAAACGGCGTTTCACCCTGGTTCACCCATTTTCGCGTAGTTCATGGGGCTGTGCGCGCGCTGGCCGATCTTGCCTGGCCACTGCAAAGAATTGTTACCATGTGCTTGACTGCTGCGTCTTTGAAGGGAATGCCACGCCCTTGTGCTGTCCATTGGGAGCGTCTCTCGCATTACTCCCGTTGCCAAGCCGTTTTGGAGTCTGTGCAGGATCGACGCTCTCCCTTTTGCCTCCTCCCCCCTTCGGGGAGGATCGGGACACGCTGCTTTCCAGCGGCTCATGCGGCCTATCACTGCATGGTGGCTCTCACACTCTTTCGGCATTTTGGAGATTCCGATAGCAAGTGCAGTGGTCTTCCTTGGATTGCCACATCAAGCCAAACTTTGAGCCCCAGGTTATTGTGTGTAGCAAGTCAACTCAGCCGACATCCAGTTTGTCCCAGTTTGTCCTTAGGGGACCCGTTGTCGGCTATCACTTACACGACACACTGATGCCTCTCAAGTGCATTGCAAGTACATAACTTGTCAACGCCTTTACCTGCTTAGGGAGGTCTCGATTTGCCTCCCGTTACTATTTCAAAATTCCTGGCTCTGCCATGAACTGGGCAAGTACTAATCAGTTTGTTGAGGGACAAGATGTACTGAGAGTTTTGCGGAATTCATTGCCCCTGTCTCACCTCTTCTCATACGGCTTCCATGGCCACACGAGTTGCGCAACAGGTTGCTTCCCTCTTCTGGTGGTTTTTGTGTTTTGGTTGTGTTGTTTGGGGGTTTTTGTTTCTTCTTTTTGGTTTGCAACCTGTAATGTAACTCCTTCTTAACTCGACCAAGGTGACTTGCGCAGAACCTGCACACATAGCGCCTCGACTCGTGCAAAAAAAATCCACGCCCACTTGGGTAGTACGGGTTACTCTGTACTTCCTAGGTGGAAATGAATGGGTTCGGTCCCACGTCACTTGGTGTGTGGATCCACTCCTTCCTTTGCTTCTCTCGGCACGTGGTGTGGAAAGGGGAGCGCCCCTGGCTGCGCCAGGTGTGTCTCTGGCCACTGGTAGAGGTGGAGCCAAGGGCTCCCTCCCAGTGTGCTAACACCTGGAGGCCAAAGCTCCCAAGCGTTGACAAATGCGAGCAATTAGACATGCCGAAGTGGCTTCGTTTCCTGCCGCCAAATGCCAAAGACAAGTGGAGGGAAGATTTCACTGAAGCAGTGCGCTAGGACCTGCAGTTGCTTAGTCACACTGTGTTAACGTAAGGTGTTCTTCTCCTACGGGTCGAGTGAAAGTCAGGCTCCGACGAGCAGATAGAGTCATCAATCTCGCCTTCATCGCCTGCAATTTTGTGAGCCCACCGGGATGAGAGCCTTAGCTCCTCGTCCCTGGTAGGCGGGTGGTAGCAGAGCGGTTGATGGAAGGCGCCCAGGGAGAACCTTAGTTGCTCGTCTGCGGGAGCCGAACCACAGCCAATCTTGTACAAAGATGGCATAAGTACCATGCTAGGATAGGTCTTTGTCTCACCTGTTTCACATGGGCCATGCATGTGGTAGGATAGTGTCCTCTATGCACACTATTTGATGAACAAGTCACCCCTTTGGCAAACGCGTGGGAGCCATGGGGTGTGTGTGATGCCTCCCTTGCGGGAGGAACTCAACACTTCGTCAGCAGCTCGTTGCAATGCTTCCCACTGCCACACTCAAGATCAGCCTCTGCACTTCGTATGCGCAATCAGTTCACCAATTTCTGGCTCTCTCAGCCATTCGAGATGTGAACCGTGCCTTGCTTGGTTGTTTCTGGTTCGGGGTTTTTTGTTTTGGGGGGTTTGTTTTGTTTGTTTGGTTGCTTCGGTTTCGGTTTGCTGGCCGGTTCACTTCTCCTTCTTTTACTAGCTTAAGGTGACTTGTGCATAACCTGCACACATAGCGCCTCGACTCGTGCAAAAAAAATGACAGTTTCAAATCGTATCCACGAGGCAAGCCTCATGGGGGCTGCCATGCGGTCACGCATGGGAGTGACCGACGGGTGGCTGAGCTTCAAGTCCGTCAGACTGACCTTGCCTGAGGGAAGTTGGCAGTGTAACCAGTGCCAATACTGATGTTTGTTCGACCCCATCCATCGAGCAGACTCGGTGACATAGGTGTAATTCAGACATTGCTGCAACATGTGTAAGTCAGCTCTGCCAGGGTGCCAGTCGCATAATGTATCATCCTCAGCATGAATGAGGTGATAGTTGCAAAGCTCAGGTTCAGCGGTGGAGATCAAGGCAGCAAAACGCTGCGGGGCATTGCAATGGTGCCCAGTTTGACTGTTAGCTGACACGCTGACCAACTGAGTCTTTGACCTTTCCTCCAACAACCCAAAGAGCCGATGCTTTTGCCGAAGTTGTACTTGTGGATGTTGGAAACTGATGCCTGTTCTTGGATTCAGGAATGTTGCCCTGGCAAGCATTCCCAGTGGCCTCATAACATGCAAAATGATGGTTTGGAAGTGGATCGCCTCAAAGCGCCGAATGCCCAGATGAGTCATCTGTGTGCAAAGTGGCACGTGCTTGCCACTTTGCAATCGTTTTTCTCAAGCCAGGGTGCGTGCCTTTGGCTCTTCTCACTCAACTCTTCTTGAAGTGTCAGCACTGGCTTCCGCTGTCTCAGCACAGAAGTTCTTTTGTGTGATCCAATCTTTCAGAACACAAGAACCAAATGAATGACTCAACTTTTTTGGCACTTTGTGTCTGCAGCATTGACAAACAGAAAAACATTTGATCAAGGCATTTTCAAATCACTTGATGGCTCTCCAGATTTCATGGTGCAATTCGACGCATACCACTTGGAAAAAATTCCCATTCGACAGGTCAGCCGTTGGTGGCAGTGAGATTTGGAAAAACATGGAAGTGTTTGGTTGCGTTTTGTGGTGTTTGTTTGGAAGTCCGCCCAAAAATTTGGTGGATAGAGACTTTCGACAGAGAACACGGAGCATTGCGGATTTTGTCTCGCCTGTTTGTGCTGCAGGCAGAAGCAGCGCGTGTCCGACTTTTGGTTAACTGGTCGGAGGTCACTGACAGTGTGCATGTTTGTGCAGTTTTCGGTTTGAGAAAGGTTTGTAATGAGACCAGGTGCTTCTGCGTTTGGGTGTGCAGATGAGGAGGAACTCTCGTTTTTGATCTGTGCAAACTGTCATCCGAGTTAGGGCAATCTTGCGTTGGATGTGCAAACGAGTGAGCAATGGTGAGAATGGAAGAAGAAGAGGTCTTCAAATGTTTTGGAGAGTTCGGAAGGATTGCACAAAGTTGGTCTGTGGACCCAAAAGAGAGTTTGCGCTGAGCGTTTGCCCATTTGTGGAGTTTTGATCCGTCCGCAAAAGATGACTTTCTTCGACTTGAGTTTTGGTTTGATCAGCAACGTTCCATGTTCTTGTCGATCGCACTTGCATTTCTTCTGCCATCTGGCGCTTTTTGATTCTCAATCTCAATTGCTCTTTCAAGTGGCAGCGGCCGCAGTGAACTGGGCGCAAAAGACATGCACAAAAATGGCGAATCGATGTGCTCATTTTCCGCTGCAATACCCCTGCATTTGCCCTCGCCGAGCCTTTTGATGCGCTCGCTGATGTTGTCACAATTCTTGGCTGCATCCGTTGGAGAACATGGTTTTCTTCGTCCAACACGCTTTTTCTTGATGGCCAACCCGCCGATCTTGGCGAAGGCTTTTTTGAAGGGCATCCACTTTGCTTGAATCATGCAGGGATTGTCATGACTGCAGTGGCTTTCAAGTTAGTTCACACACGCATCACATATGCAAAAAAATGCAGCCGGCATGCACATTTGGTTTTGCAGTGTGATTTCGGTTGAGTGCAATGTTGAACAAAAGCAACTTTTGCAGTTTCAAGTGCAAAGGTCAAACAAGTTGGAACACCAAAAAACAACACAACTGCAACTGCGTGGTTCCGGTTGACTCCAGAGCGCTGTTTTGACACTTTGCTTGGAAATGAGGATGGAGACACCGTTTCTTTTGCATCCATCCACCTATTGCAGAACATTTTTCCTGTTCTCCTGCAATAGCACCCTTCCATGGAGAACAACCTTATTTTGACAAACAGTGATCGATCCAATGGGTGTTGCAGATTGTGTGGTCAAATGTCGGTTGTATTTGCATGTCGTTTGGCTCAGCTGGGACACAACCACACTGGTTGTGGCACTTGATCCGATATCGTGGTGCACTTAGATGCAGATTTTACAACGTTGTCAAGAGTTGTGTTGTTGCGCACCTCCTGAACTTCAGGTAAACTCACCACCGGAGTTGTGGCGAGCCATTGTCTGAGTTTTTGTGCGAGTACTGCAACCAATGGGAAGTGTAAAACCAGAAGAATGTCTTTTGCCATCTATGATTTTATTTCTTACATGTGTCATGAGTGTGATGTGAAAAATATGTTCCACAAACTTTGCAAGAACATGCTTATCGTAGACCTTGTGGACACCTGCTTTCCGGATGTTGCGTTAGCAAGTTGAGATGTTGCGGACCTCCGTCCAAGGCGAGAAAACGGTTGCGAATTTCAATGAACTGCAGGCCTGCACAGATCAATCGGGTGGTTGGTAACACTATGCTTGACGTTAGAAATTGTGCCTTTGCGGGGTGCATGTGATACTGCTGTGTGTTGTTTTCCGTACCCAATGTTTGGAGCAAGTATTTGTTGATTTGATTTCATCTTCAAGACCAGTTTGAGGTTCAATCTAGTTGTGTATTTGCCTGCATATGTAGGAGTAGGATTTATTTGAATCCGGACTGGGTTCATCATTCCGCGAATTTGGAACACCATGCCTGCCGTGGGTTTCAGGGCGCACGCTCCGCTTCAACAAGAAAAAACATGTTTTTCTTTCCTTTCCACAGCAGTCCACGAATACGAGCCATGGAGCGAGTGCAAACAGTGGTGCTGGGTGCTGGCGTGACCTGCCTTGACTCTCCTTCGATCTCGTTTCGATCCCACGAACCTTCAGCCGTGGCTTCGGCTTCGGCGAAAACGGATCGTTGGACGGATCAACTTGGGTTTGGAGGCATCGTTCTCCTCAGTGATTCCAAAGACCAAAGACCAACGCACCCGAACGATGGTTCACCTGGAAATGACTTGTTATGGAGCTTCGATGTAGCAGGATACAGCAGCCGCTGATTGGGCGGATTGTGTGGGTCACCAATTTTGCGAGGACTGTATGTTGTGATCCACACTGTTTGTCGGAGAACTTGGACAATTCTTGAGCAATTCTGATTGCTCTCCCTACTTCAGGATTACACCTAGTGGAGGATGACTGCTTGCAAAACAGTCTTTGCAATTCCTACCCTGAAGTGAGGTAAAAACTTTGCACATACACCTAGTTAGATCCGGCCCATTCCCATGGCGTCCTGCTGGTCAAATATAACTTCAAGCTGACTGCTGTAAGCCAAGCAAACAAATGCGACTAGTCGAAGGTGGCAGTGGAAGTGTTCCGGGCTGGAATCACTTGCGATTACTCTGGTTGGAGTTCTATGTGGAAAAGTTTCCGTCACCATCCTATCCATTTCCAGAGTTTGTTTAGTGGAGATCATTTGTTTTTTCTTCTTCCCAATGTTTCTCACACAAAGACAACTTGTTTCTGATGAGACGTGCTTGTACTGGCAACCTGGCGACCTGTCTCATCATTAACAACACTTGCAGCGAACGGTTCGAATCAAGCTTGCCCCACAACAAAGGGAACCGATTTGTTGGCTTGGCTCCGTTGGAGTTCGGCTCCGTTTGAGGTGCTTGGACTCGCTTGTGCACGAGCCTTGGCCAAAACCAGGGAGGTGGTGCTTTGCGAGCTCAATGCCGCAGTTGGGACAGGCGCTGCAGTTTCTTTCTGAAGAACTTCCAGTGGTGTTTGCTGAGTCATGATGACTTTCTCGGTGGAGTTGCCGAGTTGCCTGATTCTTGGGGTACTTAAGACGTCCCTTTCATTTGGACACCACACTCATATCCGCTCTCACTTTGTCATCCGATTTGCAGGCATATCTAGCCGCAACAGACGCTTGACTGGTTTCAGTAGACATGGACAACTCATCAGATTTCTTCCATGCGTGGAGCATTTGCTCCCGTGCGTGAAGCATTTGTCAGAATTTTTGTTTTGTGCTGAGTTGATCATGGTTGAGGTGCATAGATTGGTGAGATGGGAAGCCAACCTTGAAGATTCTAGAGCGTTTTTGGACAGTGTTAGAACCTGCACTGCAACCTTTGTCAGCCTATATGTTTATAATACATCTAGGTTCTGACCTGCAAAGTTGTCTTGGGCTGCGACCTGCCAAGCCTGAGGTGAAGTAATTCATGCAGGCCTTTACTATCCACAAGGAAGTCGCAAGGCCGCGCGGTGCGTTGAGAGTTTCCGCACAATCCCGCAATTGTGGTCTTAGGAGTCTTAGGATTAGTTTTTTTTCGTGGCACAGTCAGAGTGACCCAGGAGACCTTGTTTTTGTGGCTTCTCTAAGCGGAGAGCAACACTCAGAAGCACAACAAGTACCTTAGCAAATAAATTTTGTTTCTGATCATCATGTTAGTAGCTCATGACTTTTAGTTGGTGCCTTCTTGATCTCCTTTCCCTATCAGGCCCTTCACTGCGTTCGCGGATCTGAGATGCTCCGCCACTTCTGCAAGGACCGTGACGTCAACCACAGAGCCTTGGTTTGTGCTACACGAGGGCTACAACGATGAAGAAACATGTTGTGCCAAACAGTGTTTCTTTTGTGGCTGTGGACTTGGGGGTGGCGAAACAAAAAGCAACTAGACCCAATGGATCAGGTTTTGGTTTTAGTTGTATTTTTCAGCCAGTGGTTTGTTGGGCATAGCATTTAGAATCCCACTTCAGCCAGAAAGTACAAGAAGCCATTATTGCCATCTAGAAAGTGCTGTTGTGTTCGCTGGCCAGCAGCCAACACCAACATTGCAAACCGAACACAAAGTTTCTGCACTCAGGCCCGATGAGCTTTTCCTTCGATTCTGGGAAATTCATTAAAAACAACAACATGTATCTATTCTCAGTTCGAGGGCATGGAGCACGATCTGTCCCTGGACACCGTGGACCACGGTGGCACCGGCCTCCACCGTGGACCACGAGGCCTTTGTGGAAAGCTGGTGGTGGCCACAAGTGAGGCGCAGGTGGCACAGCTCAGGGTGCTGGAGGCCAAGGCCCGGAGGATGGGAGACTTTCCAGATGTTGTGCCCTTGGCTCATTGATGCCTTGGGTAGGGCCCAATTTTGATTTGAAGGGACTCCAGATACATAAGAGGTGGAAACTTCAACATCTTGAGTTGGTTTTACTTGTTGTTTGGATAACCTCAGCACACCTTCTCAGTGTTGAAACAAGCCAAGTCGTGAGCTGGTTGAGGTTGAGCTAGCTGCATGGTAGCCCTCGTGTTGGCCGAGTTAGGCTGCATGGTAGCCCTCATCTGAAGGCGTTGGACTTCAGCCTTCAAACCTCACCCTTGGTGGGGTCAAACCTGGGAGTTCTGACTGTGACTATTTGCTTTGTTTCGCTTCAGTGCTGCAGATCTCTGTCCCAGGCGGCTGCCAATGGTGTGAGGTTGCAGCGGAAAAGTCCAGCTGAGGTGAAGGAGATGGAGCCAGAGGCCTGACAGCTTTGGGATGATGGAGCATGAAGATTGTACATATCAAGCCCATGCCTAGCAAAACTGTAGCACTAAAGCTGCACCAGCTTTAGTACTACAGCTTTTGCCAACGGGGAATGGGAATGAGTCTGCTGTTAGTGCCAAGGATGTTCCCGAACTCTCATGGTCAAGGATCATACTTGGTTTCTTCCTTACTCATGTCAACACCCTTGTTAAATGGCTTCTCTAAAAGCCTGATTCTGCACACCGTTTCTCTGAGTGGACCTTTGATGTCAATCTCCAATTTTTAGCTCAATGTTTTCATTTCTCCCTCAGCAGACGGTTCCAAGAGAAGTCGGTTCAGGCCCCTCTCCAATCAGTTTGCGGCCGGGTTTGTTTATCCCACAATTCGCGATGCGTTCAGAAAAAACAAGATTGGACTGTTTGGTTTTATCCCTTCTCCTGATGTCATCCTGACACAGGGACTTTAACCAGTTGATTCCTTCTTCTGTCCATTCCTTGGAAGGTCCACTGTGTAGAGGCCCTCTATTCGCCGCGGACGGGCGCGGGACCCTGACGACCTGTCGTTGATGTCGATTTTTTGGAGCTACTCAGGGTCTGAGAGATTGCCATCAGGCTCTCATCCAACCTGCTTTTGTTCTTTGGTGCGGAGAGACGTCTCTTTCGGATCATCTCTGAAACGCATTTGGAATCCCATCCTTTCGGTGCGGATTTTCAACGTGGATGCATGTGGATGCCATCATTTTACTTTTTGTGGTTGCAGCCTTCCCCCCACCAAAAGCGTTCGATTTTGATTCAGTGCAGTATTTTCGCGTTGGCTGCCCACCCCTAACGAGCATCCCGTGCGCCTCTATGTTGCATCATGGCCTTGTATAGTTTGCTTGACCTTGATCCACATGAGCCACTTTTGGATATACACAGTACACTCACTCCTTGAAATAATCATGGAAGTCGACAACCACCTGTTTGTAGAGGAAGCTGGTTCTTTCAAGCGTATGCCTCCATTCCTGAAGAATCTGCTCCACCTACAGGATTCAATTCTTCACAAATCGTATTCCTCGAATTTCTCAAAGTGAATGGCCTTTTTGCTCGTATTGGAACCTTCCAGCAGAAAGTCCGCAAAATGGTTCTTGCTGAAAAATCAGTTGATTCCTTGATGCCTTTATGCGAATGGCCATCCAATTGAACCTGGACCTGGTCGCAGCTAGTTAGTTAGTTACATGTTCTCATTAGGTTTCATGTGTTCTACTAGGGTTCAAAACCTTTTGTAGACTATCTTGTCTTTGCTAGTTGAGGTTTGTCAATGCCCGCTCGGTACTCGGAATGGTTCTTCCAAGGGCTGGTCGAGATCCGGGGTGGTCGAGATCCGTGCGTTCTGCTGGTGTAGAGGATTTCATGGTCATCCAAGAGGGCCATGCCATCCACTTCCGGGAGCGTAGATCGGGAAGGTCCCGTTTCCGGGGTTCGGTGCACGTTTCAAGCGCTGAGGGATCGTGGACTCGCATGGTTTTATGCAGGCGCCGACTCTGTGCAGACGACCACTGTGGGGTGGTGATGAAACTAGTAGAATTGAGTTGAGCACGGATCAAGAACCTGCCTCTCAAGAATCATTTGAGACCTGATTGTCAATAGGCACTTGACAGCTGCAAATGCTTTGGAATGTCGTGGATGTCCTGCGGGAGTCTAGATATCCGATATTCGTTTTGGACATGTCGATGATATAGTGATGTGTGGAGGCCTTGCTGACTGATGCCGAAGCACGGGGCACCACGCTGGCGCTTCGTACACGGGTGCGGGGTGGAAGGGTCTATGATGCAGGCAGGGAGAGGGGAGTTGATGGTGGGACCTAGTGAATGGGTATTGAAACTGAAACAACCACTGCATTTCAAACAAAAGTTCCACAAGGATAGTAATTTGAGCACATTAGTCAAATGCTAGGTGAAACAGAGAAAAACAATCAAAGTTCCAGAGCTTTGAGACTTGGGAGAAGGATGAAAGTAGAGTCACCCTTTCCGTCCTTTTGCGTTTGTTCCGCAAAAAGTTTACTGTTGGAGTTTTCTCTTAGGAAAAACACACACTGGCCATAGTCTTTGGCCGCCTCCTCTTGTCCTCTTGGTGTCCTCCTGTGCGAACCCTGTGTCCTTTTCTTGTCCTCCTGCTGTCCTCTGGCCGTGCTGGCGAGCACTGTGCCACCAACATTGGAATTCAAGGAGTTGACATGCTGGGGTCTATGCTGGCAGCAAAGTTAGTTCACGTACATGTCAGCATGAACTATTTCATGTACACGTAAGTAAGCTCACTTCACTCGTGTTGCGTGTTGCACTCATTTGAGGTGTGCTTCTTGAGTTGGAATCGGTGGACTCTGGAGACTTCTTCTTTTTGGAGGCAGGGTGAGTTTTTTTGGCTGGGCACTGCAGATAGGGGAGTGGTTGTCAGATTCCAGTGCTGCCAGACAGCAGCTGCTGTGTATTGCGAACCATTTTCTGTGCAGATCATTGGGTACATGACTAGCCTACTTAAATAGCCCCAGGTCCCTACTCAGTCCAGAATTGAATGTCTGGAAGTAATTTCACCTAAGTTAACATTTGCTGCTGGAGGGGGGGCCTTGCAGAAGACCAATAAACAATTTACATAAGAAGTGGTATATCGTATTCAGATTTGATGAGATATGCTTGAAAGCAGTCTCAATAAAACAACTAGTCATTCAGACCTGACACACCTATCATTTAAAGTGATTTCAAATGAACGGATCAGACACAGAGAGTCCTTGAAGGGGCGAGGGCGTGATAGGGCGTGAAAAACAGAAACACACGTACGCGCGCTGTGTTTTCAATTTGGGGGGTGGGTCAGTTGTCAACAGGTCCTTGATTTGTGGCTGCTCTTTGTCTTTGCACTTTTCTTGCAGAGATTTACAAGGCACAAAAATTAATCCAAGGTACCTCAATTATGCACACATGGTCGATTAGTATTCGTATACATTTCTTTTATTACTAATCAGCACCCGTTACAAGGGGTCAATTATTTAGCCTACCCTGCCTCGATTCATAAATTAATTATTTCAGCAAGGCCCTCAGGGGGGGGCCTCCCTAAGGCAGGGGCTATATGATTAACATAATGGACCCTACTGCAGCCCTTTTTGAGTATCAAGACAAGGTGCGTAAGGTAGCGGCGCTAAGAAGGAGGTTTATAACCCCTCTGGAGCTCTGATTGAAAAGGCCCTAGGTCACTGGGTTCAGATTTGGGGCCTTTGGACCCCCAAACAGCTGGACTGGTGAATAATTGCTGTTAGCACCACTCTGTACCAGGACATTGTGTCAAAGAGACACTAGTACAAGGAGAAGATGGAGGAGATCAGAGAAGCCCTTCAGACTATAGCACAGAGTACGCTAGCACTTGGGGAAGGAAAGCTACAGTTCAATACAAAGACCAAGCTACAAGATGCCCAGAGTGGAAGAATCACGAGAGCTGATGAGAACTACTTTTGTAAAAAGAGGATATGGATTTCTTTGCACCAGGATACAAGAAGCTTGAGAACAGAGAGCAAAGAAAGAAAGAAGTGGAGCAGGCACTAGAAGGGATTACCCCTACGCGACAGGAGGTAGAAGGTCAGAAAGAAGATGACCTTGAGTGTGAACTACAATTGAGCCCATTGGATGTTGACAAAGTCTTGGTGAATGGAATAGAGTTGGCTAAGGATTCAGCTTTGGCAACTCTGAGGGCAGCTTGTTCATTTCCCGGCATTTCAGGCAGTGGCTCTAAGCTGAGGGTCTACACCAGGATCTTCAATCACAACAAAAAGATGGAATTGTTGAACGCCAAAAGCTTGGTGAGTGAAGCAAAAGCTCAGGAGACTAGAGTGGCATTGGGGCAAAGTGTGGCAAAGATGTCAGGTGAAGCAACTCAAGCAAGACACAGATTGACGCACATGCCATGTTCCAGTTGGTGTAAGGAGTGCTTTGAACATCGAGCGCGCCCAGATCGCCATGAAAGGACAGATGAAGTGAAGAGAGAAAGTATTCCTGAGGTGAGCTTTGGCTTTTCTGCTATACAAGAGGAAGAGACTCAGAAGCAAAGTCAGCAAGAGCAGTATGTTGGCAGGTTGCAACTGACAGCCAAACTCGATTCATTCATGTTGTGCCATTAGGGAGCAAAGGTGAATTTCGTCTAATTGTGCAAGAACTGATGAATTTCAATCAACTGTTAGGGTACTCAGCAATCACCCGAAGGAGTGGCAATTAGCCCGCAACAAGGATCCCCAAGATGCTGACCAACGCTCGACACAGTCTAGGACTCACTACCAGATTGGTTACCTCAAAGCTTGGAGATCATTCATTTCTTTCAGAGTACACAGTTGAGGTTGAGAACGCTTGCAGGAACTTTCATTGAAGGTGTGCAGTCAAGACTTCGCATCAAAATTGGATCAGATCACGCACTTTGGACTTGGGCAGCAAGACATGCCAGTTGCGTGCTTAACAGATTTCAGCCAGTCAAAGGAGCAACTCCCTATGAGCTTGTCTATGGCAAAAGTTAGAAGGGACTTCTAGTAGAGTATGGTGAACCAGTTCATGGTTACATCAATCGTCTCAGCAAAGGAGAAGCGAGATTGCGTTTACGCTTGTTCTTGGGAAAGGTTGAAAGGCAGGACACCTATGTACTCACAGACGATGCATCAGAAGAACAGGAAAGATTTCTAGACGGTACAAGTGCCAACAGATAGCAACATGGCAGACCTCAACACAAAGCCACTAGGAGGACAAAGAATCAGATATTTGATGAACCTAATTGGTTACTGGCGCAGTGAAGACCAAAGTGAGAGTAGGAGAATTCTGAAAAGAAGAATTTTGCAGGGAAGGTCAAGAAAATTGCAAAATGATGGTGAGAATGGTAGCGTTGGAGGGCTGTGCCGCGCGGCCGTGTCCGGCTAACTCGCTGCTGTTTACAATGCATTCGCGCCGCTCGAAATTGTCGACGCGCACTCCGACTGCGCAGGCTCGCTGAATCTGGGTGTCTGCGGCGGGTGCTTCTAACGACTGCGCTCTCGTTGTGGCGCCGTGTGCATTTTCGCACATGGTGGTGACTTTCCGTGGCAGGCGCAAGAGAAAGCTCGTGTTTTCGTGGTTGAAAGTCGACTTTTCGTGACAAGTGCAAGGGATCGGAGTGGTTCTACTTCAAACTGCAGTCTTCGTGGCAGGCGCAGCACTTTGGCCATGGTGGCGATACTCGACGACGAGCTCTGATTTCGTGACAGGTGCAGTGTTTCGACGTGTGGCTCGTTTGCAGATTTTGCAGGTACAGCACTTTGTGAACCTCGATGTTCAGACTTCGTGGCAGGCACAGCGCCACTTTGTGAACCTCGATGTGCAGATTTCGTGACAGGCATAGTCACAGCGCTTTGTGAATCTGAACGTGCAGATTTCGTTTCAGGTACAGCGCTTTGAACCTCGACGTGCAGAGTTCGTGACAAACGCAGCACTTTGTGAACCTCGAGGTGCAGATTTCGTGACAGGCATAATAGCACTTTGTGAATCTCGACGCACCTCAATGTGGACAGGCGCAGCACTTTGTCAACCTCGAAGTCAGGCGCAGCACTGGCGAACCTCGAAGTGCAGATTTCGTGGCAGGCACAGCGCTTGGTGAACCTCGAACTGGCAGGCGCAGTACTTTTGGCTCTCAAATTGCAAATGGGTGCAGCACTTTGTGCTCTCAGACTCACTCTCCCTCTCACTCTCACTCTCACTCTCACTCTCACTCTCACTCACACACTCACACACTCCACTCTCACTCTCACTCTCACTCTCACTCTCACTCTCACTCTCACACTCACACTCACACTCACACCCACACTCACATTCACACTCTCACTCTCACTCTCACTCTCACACCACCACCGCCACCGTCACCACGATCCCCACCTTCATCACCACCATCACCTCTTTGGACCACTTTCTGCTTATAGACCTCACACACACTGTTTGGGGTGTTTTGCCATTATAATTTGTATGTTTTGGGTTCATTTGTTCGTCTCAGTTTTGGGTTGGCAGACCTCGTGGACAGGCCCAGGAGGTGGTGAATTGCTGCGGGCTGGCGGCCCCACGGGTGGCGCAAATGCTGGGGATGGAGGCGATGCAGTGGAGATGGGTATGGGTTTGTTATATATTATAACAGCAAAAACCACAGAGATACATATATATATATATCAAAATAGATACATAGATCGATCGATAGATTTAGGGGGCGGTTGCCCCTGCAGTGGTTGAGTTGGGGAAATTCAGCACCATATGAGGGAACATCGCAACATGTTCATGGGAAGCAGATCCTTTTCACATTTTGTCATCGAACACGTGATGACAGTTATACAGGGGATATGCCGTTCTTCCAAATCTAGACTGCACATAGATGAATCCTTCTATCACCTGCCCATCCTGGCGATTTGAAATAGAAACATTTGTGATGGTCCTGTTTTTGGTCCTCCATCCAGCTCAGGAGATTCCCAGAGCCTACTTCTGCCGTGGCAGCTACTATGCTCTTCAAGGTGCACGCTGGCGGTGGCATCCTCGCAGGATGGGGCGGCACGGTGCCGTTTCTAGATCCATAAATGAGAATGGGTCCAATATCGTACACTCATTTGAGCGGCTCAACCGCCAGGTGGCCTGAAACCCTTCTCTCGGTTGATCTACCCTGTGCCTGAGCCGCAGACCAGTGGTCTGGGAGTGCATGCCACCGTGGATTTACAAGGACAAACCGAGTTTCAGAGGGATGCATGGGAGGGGACCAGTGTGCAAAAGGAATGGTGTGACAGGAAGGCAGCGTTTTTCATATCTATATTTGGAAGGGCTACGGGGCTTCCACAGTTTTGGTTCACAGTCCCTCATGCAGACACACGCAAATCTTTGAATGTAGCCTCTGCCAAGCTCAACATCAAGCTGATGTGAAAGGAGTGGATGCTTCATGGTAAGGAACCAGGCTTGATTGGCACTTACTGGAAGGTGCCACAGGTGGTCCGACACTCGCACCGTACATCGCAGGACAAGTTCGCTTTGGTCCAGATGTGGAGTGGCTGCCCAATGAGATTCGACCAGGGAAAGAGGTGGATGAGGCTCTTCACAAGCAAAGAAAGAATGCAAAGGGAGAACTAGATTGCGCCAATCAGAAGGACAATCTTATACTTTTTGGTTTCTGGAGATTCAAAGATGGGAAGAGGTAAGCGCTGTGACAGCTCTCCGCACACTGTTGATAGGCGGTACTTGTGACCTTTGATTCTTTTCACCGTGTTTGTTTTGTCACGGGGTGTCGGTGCGAGGTCGCCTACAGTCCTCAGCAAGCCATTGCCTATGAAGTCGATACCAACAGAAGCAAGTCCTTTTACTCAGAGGCTGGAGGGTCAAGATGTCTCAACGGAACAATCCAGTTGCTATGCACAGATGAAACGTATTCTGATTTGTGGCAATTGCAGTGGTTGATCATCGCAGAGACAAATCTGCAAACATGTACATACTTTGTCCAGGGTGACCACTTCCCGAGAACCATTTGTCCTTTCATCTTCCTTACTGGTCTCTTTCCACCAGCATCCAGTCAAGCATCAAATCTGGCGGGGTGCTCACAACCAACATTTTGGTGACGGCAAAAGACCCTCAAGCTTCCCATCAAGGATTGGGCCATTGGTCCTCAAGGGACGTTTCTTGGTGAAATGACCTCTTGTTCTCTTGGGTGGCACCGGTGGTCTGCGTCGAAGCAGCGGTCCTGGAAGCCAAACATCTCCAAAACCGAGATTGGTGGATCCTCGTCACTCTCGGCTGAACATATTCAGTTTGTTTTAGTGGGTGAACTATGGTTCCTCCGTGAAAGGCCCTGTGTCGGTCGACTGGTCGCAGGTGCGCCGCTACTGGCCGCAGCTGCCCGAGGGCTCTCTGGTGGCCGACTACGCTGGGGTGAGACCCAAGCTTTCGGGTCCAGGACGGTCATGGTGTGACGTCGGAGTAGTGGGGTAGTGGGGAGGGGAGCTTCATGTTGACCTCGATGTTATTCTTGTTTTTTTAAACACGATTCAGGACGATGTGTCAAACCTGGGTTTCCAATGTTTTCCATGCAACCTAGACTACCAGAGGATAAGAAAAAGAGCGTAGTCCCAAACGCGCAACACCAACGTGGCTTTTCCATCGAGGAGAGCCGGCAGCCGATTTCCAGGTGGCCAGATATGGCAAGCCGCTTGGTTGAAAACAGTGCCAGCTCTGTCCAAAAGATCGCAAAGTTCATGGAACACCTCCAAGGATGAATCCATACAGGGATTTGACAGGACTTGAAGAATTCTCTTTTGGATAAGCCCAGTTGGAGACAAGTGTGGGATGTATTCGTGGCAGCTTTGGCGTTGCTGCTCTCAGAAGTTTCTTTGTTGAGAACCAAATCGATTCCGCTTTTCCCTCTTTTCCTCTCTTCTGTGAGGTTGGTGAACCTTTTCGGCATTGAGAGTCCGGGGCTCACGTCCTCCTTGAGCCTGGCCCGGGAGGTGGTCCACCTGCTAGGCGCCGAGAGGGGGGGGAGGGCCTCGGGGTGCCGTTTCTCTTTTTTCCCGGAATGACAGGTGACAATAGATCATAAGCATGCGAATATGTGGGAATGTGGCGGATTCCTTGAGGTACCAAGGTGCTTCTGAACATGCGGAAGGTGCACCTGTTTGTTGGTATGCCCTTTTGGCAGGTGCCAAGTCGAGCTGATCCACTTCAACTGGTGATCTGCAACATTTGGCAGCTGGACGTGCCGGCCTCTCCAGCTTATTGTGGGGTTTGAGAAACTTGGAACATGCTCGACAGGAGAATTTTCAGAGGAAGGGAGCCAGCAGCTGGGACAGGCAATGGATCCTCCACTTTCGCATCCAGACATGGGACCTTCGTGTCAGGTGCCCGGGGTGGATGCACTTGACAAGCATAGCAGCATAGCACTGCAAGAGTGGCTTGCAGCAACTTCACTGCTTCTGGTTCCCCGAGCTTTTCCTTCAACGACTTTGCAAAGGAAAGATAGATCTTCGAGGGTCTGAATCACTCCGATTGACAGTGCGCTTACTGCTTGCTCCCTTGGGATCGCTTCGTAGCACCCATTCATTCATTCCTTCATTCATTCACAGGCTTCCATTGTGTCATGCTACAAAGGAAGCTGCTGGGAGCATCAAGACACCTTTGTCCAGGCCAACTGAAGCACATCTCAGCCGTTGTGGCACCTCATGGTCACCATGATGTGATTGTGACCGAGGGTAATACTCTTCTTCAAAGCCTTTCTTGGCTGCAATACCTCCCATTCCTCATGATGAATGTGAAACACTTTGTCGTAGGGGCTGCCAAAGTTAGAGGCTATGGCTATGAGAGCAGCAACGTGTCCGTTTGACGGAAATGAGGCTGACGAGGGAGAGTTGTTGCAGGTCCAACATACAGCAATGTCCCCTTCACTGGATTTGCTTGATCAGTGCGTCAGTGAAGTCCTTGAGGACTGCAAGTTGATTGCCAGTAACCATTGAGTGGCAGGGTTGCAGGACCACCCAGCCATGGTGGGCAGGACCACCAAGGTGGCCTTGTCAGGTGGGTGGTTGCTGGCATTCTATGCCTGACGAAGGGTGCAGGATTTGATGCCTCGGGCCAGGCGCGCCTGGCATCATGGCTTGGCCCGTGACTCGCGGGACGAGATTTTTCGGTTTCACACGTTGTGAAGACAGTGTGACAGTGTGTGTGTGTGTGTGCGCCAGAAAAGGGTTGGCGTGACACTAAATAACGGCCTGCTACAAGGAGTGTGGGGTGTAGTGACACGACTGGTTGATACTTTGTGGAACCCTGGCGCGCCTTTGCAAAAAACAGGAGTAACACCCACTCCAGCAGAAACTCTGAGCCACAGCCTGTTCTCCAGACATGATGAAGGTCCCTGACCTTCAGCTCCAGTGTGGGCGTGGGGGACAGTAGGAGAGACTTACTGTCGCGGCATCAAACCCGGAGCCCCCCCAACCATGGTAGGTTCACCTCCCCAGTCTTCTGTTCATGACTCTGGTGGTCCATTCTCTTTCTAGATCCAAGCCGACCAGGAAATGAAAGTCATACAGAGACACGGAGTCAAGAATAAATGCCTTGGGAAATGATTCGAAAACGATATCTGCACGGGAAGCGACTTAGCGATGTCAGGGGAGCAAACTGAGTTGGGCTAAGGTCACAAAACTGCAATGATACTGCCGCTTTATATTTGACTCATCGTGACTGGAATTTGACTCACCTAGTTTCAGCGGCCATAGCGGTTCTATCCGGGTGCTTTCCTTCAGCAAGGCCACTGGAGTGACCCCTCGAGCCACCCGTGGATGATTGGTCCTGCTCAGATTCAACATCAGGTTCTATTTAGGTGACGGGGGCAGAATTGCCAGGAGCCCGCAGAGACGCATTTCTGTATTGCTTTGGCATTGATTGAAAGGGTTTCTTCAGAGGTCTTTACAGCATATATATGTCCCTTATCTCTGCTGAAATGAGCATGTGCTCTCAAGAAATCTTGGCTCAAGAGCCGCTGCATGCCTTGGAGCGCCGTGGTTGACGTGGCGCGCGAGCTGAGGTGGTGGTGGCCTACCTCCTGTCCGTCGAGTGGGATAGGTGCGGCATTCGCAGCGCTCTTGGTTCTGGTTAGCTGCCTGTGCGGCTGCTGCTGTGGCATCCTGGCCACGCTGGTGGTGGTGTGCTTGGGCCCCTCTTGAGCCTGCAACCTTCCAAGCACAGTCTCTTAGGAGGCGCCTGGCCCAGTACCGCTCAGACGGTGCATGAGTTCAGATCCAGATCCGGAGGTCGACGAGCTGTGCATCGCAGTCGGTGACCTGGTCGTGAAAGTTAGCAAGGCCAAGGCCGCCCCATCAGCTGGATACGGAACACACAGTGCAGGGTCGTCGGCTGATCCTTCCTTCTCTTCCCAGGGATTCTGGTGCCCTTGCAGGCCCATCTCGGGCCACGGTGCCAGCAGTCGTTGGCAGCAGCGCAACTTCGGAAGCTGCATCTTGGAGTGTGGTTGAGTTGGCTGAAGCTTCATCCTTTGCCCCGTGGAGCTGGGAGTGGGAATCCGCTCTACTGGCTGCCTCTTCACCTGAAGAGGTTCTGGCGGTGGATTTGAGTGTCATTGATCATCTGAGCAATCGTCTCCGGACGACCAGTGCAGGGTGGTCACCTCGTGCACGCTTGGGTCGTGCATTCCGGGCCGGATTGATAGCCCGCCAGGTGCTGGACAAGCACTACGTGAAGCCAGCAAATCTGGGTGGTCCGACTCTTCCCTGCCGATTCTATATCATCCTTCGTGCTGCATCTGGTCGTTTGTCTGGTTGGACGGACGACTACATCCAGTATCGAGATCAGGTCATCACCAAAGACGGCGGCTTCGCGGCTGGAACGGTGTCACAAGCATTCGCGTCTCGTGCAGAAGCTGAGGCCTATCTCCTGGGAGCTCGGGAGCCATGGCCAGCGGCGCTGCCGCGCCGATGCTGAGCGAAGATGCTATGAGGGCCTTGTGGGAAGCGGCTCCCACTGGGGCTCTCCCAGGTGTGTACCTGGTCTTGCCGCAAAGATCCGATGGTGTCGGGCAGAGGGCTTTGGGCTATATGGTCAGAGTGCGAGCTGGCGGCTTTATGGTAGTTGTTCCGGAGGCCGAGGAGGTCTCCCAAACACCCCAAGACTTGGAGTACGAAGCTCAGGAAGCTCTTGTGGCCATCTACTCCGCAGAGCTGGACTTCGAGACCACCCGCGGCAGAAGACTTTCTCCAGGACCCTGTCTTCTCGTAGATCTGTCCTGGAATCTGGTTGGGCATTTTATGAAAGCCAATTGCTTCTTCGTTCGAGGTCATCAGATTCATGCAGGAGGGCACCACTTGTCGTCCAAGGCGGGAGTCAGTCGCCTCTGCGGCCGATGCCTGGACTCACGAGGTGATGGACGACGATACTGCCGCCGACTATGTAACTGGAGAGTCCGAAGGCCACTTGGTCGATGGTTTGGAGCCTCAGTTGGAAGCCGGTGGAGCGGGAGACGACGAGGTGGCCGCCCTTCGACGGCGCATCGCCGAGCTGGAGCAAGCGGCTTCTTCACCCCCACTTCGAGCACCTGCACTGAGGACCCCAGACAGGCTGGCATCAAGCAGTCAGCAACCTGTTCTCACCAATCGTGGTGTCTTGTTCGGAGGGTCGCCAAACGTCAATGCGATTCCTCCTCCTCCCGGGGATGTGATGAACAAGTTCAGATCACTGGCAGGCGCAGCTCCCACGCGGCTGGGGGCACACGAGCGTCAAGCTCGCGCCAGTCGCCCGGAGGCATCTTTGGAAGCTCTTCAACAGGAGGCCGGATTGGGAGCCATCGAACCTCTAGAGCTCGAAGAGGGCATTCAAGAGTTGGAAGGTGTGGCTTCAGATCCCTTGCAGCGCATGCTGCTCCTCCAGATGCAGCAGATGTCCATGCTGGCCAAACACAACCAGGCCAGGTCGGTCGATCCTCTGACCGCCGCGTTGGCGGGTGGGGGAGAATCACAAAGCATGGGAAGCTCGTCGAGTGGCATCAAGGGCTGTGCTGCACGGGAGGCATATCTGAAGATCATGCAGGACCTCCCGGCCTTTGCTTCGAAAGTGAACGACAATGCTTGCCAGGAACTCGGGATCGAGATGCGCCAGGCCGGTCCAGGTCTTATGAAGGAGTATGTCGAGAAAAGGATCCCGTTGGGCGACAACAGACTCCTTACTCAATCCGCCTATCTATGGGCATGGGCTTGGGAGATGGGATATCGCCTGAACAACCCCGAGCTGATGGCCGTGTCCTGCAGGGGGATGCTTTTCGTCGATCAGACGGCCATAGACTTCGGCCGGACCAATTTGAGCTGGTTGCTGACGGCCTTGCCAGAACCGCAGTTCAGTATTGTTCAAAGGAATCGGGTTCGGCAGTCGCTGACCCCGTTCAGCAGATTGGCGGCGGCTTCCTGGATAGGAGCAATGTGGCCTTCATGAAGGACCTCGATTTTTCGGAGTCCAAGATCAAGAATGCCAACGCCACTCCCGGTCCAAAAGAAGGAGCCGCCGATGCCGAGAAGCCGAAGAAGACGCCCTGGAAGCCCAAGAAGAAGAAGACCCAGGACGGGTCAGACACCACAGCATGAAGGAAGACTATGCCGCTATGCCCGCCGGTGGTCTGCATACTGGTTTGCCGAGCTCTTCTTTGTCAGAGCGGGGGGTTTGCAGCCCCACCGCTACTGTCGGTCGGCCGGTGTGCGGTTCTGCCAGGCGCGGCTTTTCCACTGGTGCGGCGATGTCTTCGCATGCGCAGGTTGAGGATGGCCAAGATCTTCCGGGGACTCATGTTCCATCAGCCCCCTGCTCCCTCAAGCCGAAGATAGCAGGGAAGTGCTTTCCGGAAGAAATTCAGTGCAGTTGATGTTGGCAGCTTTGCAAGGGGCTTCGACTTGTCCTGGGCTAGGAGACTTCTTGCACCGGAGCTTGCTGCCTTCCCGCGATGTTGTGGTCCCTGAACGCTTGGGGACGGACCTTTTGCCTTGTCCCCCCCCGCTGTGGGGTCGATGGACAAAAGCAAGCTCACTTTCTCCGCCCCGCCGGAGGCGCTGGAGGTTTTTTGAGGGCGAAAGCCCTGTGCATGCAGCACCTGGTGATTGGACTCAACTGGCTGACACTTGGGTGCTGCAGGTCGCCCCCTGATCGAACACGAGCAGGATACCCTA